ATGATGATCTCGGCGAGCGAAAAAGTATCGGAGTCGCTTTTACGAGCGAGCAAAGTCGAACGCGACGCTCTTTCCCCAAGAATAGCCCCGGTAAACGTTCTCCGTTCCGAGTCCGAGAGCTATTTTTATGGGGTACCTTGGACTCGTTGAACGTTCTCCTCTCCTAGAGACTCACCCGTGGAATTACAGATCGGAAGCGTTCGAAGCCATTGTAACAGGATTTAGACTGGAGATCTTACGCAGTCAATGAAACTCCTGTCTAAATCCGATTTGAAAATCGATACAACCTCGAGGGAAACAGCCGCGGCCTCGCGATCGTATAATCACCGATTGTCACCGTTTGCAGCGATCTCGGCGATTCCGAAAATAGTCTGCGAGACGATCCACGCCCTGGAGCTGCACGATGAGACGCCCTCGTGGAAGATCATGGACAATAAGGGACGGGTCACGGTGGTGCTGCACTGGGACCAGCGATCGTCGACGTCGTCCCAGGGGCAGCAGCAGCAGAAGGGTCAAGACGTGCAGGCCTCCAAGTACTCGCCGACCAAGAAGACCGATCTGAGCGGTGGCCAGCGGCCGCCGTTGGTCATCCAGACGAGCCTCGACCAGCTCAACTACGGGGGGAAGCTGGGACACCTGGCGGCGGAGGTCGGGCCGAGTCGATACACCAGCCCCCATATCACTGTGATAAATCATGACGACATGGTACGAGATCGTCGCTACCCGCGAGACGTCCGCGGTCAGGCAACGGGACCGATTTCAGAACAGAAATTGCAATTCTAATTCGATTGAACGATCTGGTTTCCGAGTCTGCCTAAATCGAAAGGACCCCGTGTGACACGCCTACGTAGATTTTAATTTGGAATCGGTTTCGGATCGGCGGACCGCGACGTCTCCCATTACGATTTGCCACGAGCTTTTTTTTTTGTTAGCGCACGAAACGAAATTTGACGGGGCGAGGTTTCCGGGTAACGAGTTCGATCTCGACGGGCGCAGTGGACGACGCCGCTTGCACGTTCCGACTTCCGGCCCAGGACCGCTGTCAGAGGCGGACCACTCGGAGCCCGGAAGCCTCGAGTACCCTCTTCTCCTCTCTGTCTCTCTGTCTCTCTCTCTGTCTCTCTGTCTCTCTCGAACCTAGAAAACAATCCAAAAGAGAGGAGGATAGAAAGCAAAGATAAAATTAAAATGGTCGCACGACACAGCAGCAGCAGTCGTCCGGGCTGCAGCCGCAGCCGCAACCGCACGGGATCCCGGGCAGGCTGGTGAAGCAGGGTACCAACTCGTTCGACAGCACCACGATCCATATCCACACGCCGGAGTGCTCTAACCACATCCATCAGCCGGTGGCGAGGAACGGGAGCCCGGTGAACGGCGCCGACGGTGGTCCCAGCGGCGAGTGCGACTTCCACTGCTGCGCGCTCCACGAGGAAGGACGGAGGATCGCCGTTCACAAGTCGGTGGCCACCTCGCCGATCCAAGACGCCCAGCATCAGCAGTACCACCACCACCCGCACCAGCAGCAGCCGCAGCAGACGCAGACGCAGACTCCCTCGCCGCAGCCGCCCTCCTCGTTGTCCGACGGCACGAGACGGACGGGACTTAGCAAGGGCCACGTGCGTTTCTGCGACACGGCCGACGAGGAGTCCAGCTCGAGAATCAGCGGATCGGCCGGTGCCGGCGGTTTCCATCTGCCGCATCATCAGAACCATCACCAGGAGCACGACAGCTCCGAGTCCGAGACCGAGAACACGATGATCGAAGATGAGATCGTCACCTCGGAGAAGTTTCTATTGCTGATCGATCAGCTGACCGTCGATCAGAAGCATCTGAGCATCAAGGATATCGGGATCATCCTAGAACGGCTCAGCTCGAAGATCCTCGACGTCGAGCGGCTGGATCGCGAGAGCGAAAGTGAGGAATGTTACAACTGGACGATCAAGGCGATCATCAGGGGCGACGTGTTGAGGGAACTGGGTGTCATCTACAACGGGAACTACTACGCGATCTCGGAGCATCCCGGATACAAGGAGGAGTCCGAGGAGAATAACGAAGATAACGAAGAGGAAGAGGAGGATAGACTTTAATATGATGCTGTTTCTCTAGATAGATAGATAGATAGATAGATAGATAG